GAATTATTTTTAGCCTTCCTGGAATCGAGACGGTGCGCGAGAGGAGGGGAGGGGGCACGCTTGTTGCTCGGCCTGGCCTGTTCAACGAAAATCTTCTCGAGTCTTTACACTCTTCACTTGTTAGCCCGCCCTTCTGCTTTGAAAAAGCTATCCAGCGGGCTTATGCAAACGACCTCGTGTCTGTCTGTCTGTGTGTCTGTCTGTTCCACTAGAAGGAGATGTGCTAGAGACTTCAAATTTTCAGGGTATCTTAAGGTTCACTCCTAGAAAACGAAACGCCTACGGCAAATCCTGGCAACCAACCCTAAGGCGCTGAAAGGGGGTATCAAAGAAAAGGAGGTAGGTCAAAAAAGTCAGAAAAAAATATTTTTTTTATGAGCTCCTAAGGGGTAACTCGTCAAAGTAGAGTCCTAAGGGCAAAAATTTCGTCCGTTATGCTCTATCTTTTACCGTTTGGGCGCTAGAGGGAGTTTCTCTCACAAAAGTGGCCCAAAAATAAATTTATTAATTTCCGAAAATATTGAATGGTCTCCTATGGGGTAACTTGTCAAAGTAGAGCCCTATGGGCAAAAATTTCGTCCGTTTGGCTCTATCTCTAACCGTTTAGGCGCTAGAGGGTCTTGTTTGACGAAAATAAATTAAAAATTGCTGTAGTGGACAATTAAATGTAAAAGAAGGCCCAGAACCGCAAAAGAGGTAAGAAACTCCCATCCCCTACCCCCAAAAAACGTTTTCTAAGCAGAAGGGTGGGTTTTAGTCGCGGTGTTTCACCGTTACATCCCTTTCTCGTGTCCACGGGGCAAATTTTAAGGACCACGGGCTTTGAGGGCCGAAGGCCCGTTACATCATTTGATTATGTTCTACAGCAAATCGCGTGACAGAAATGGTCGGGCCGCAGGCCCGACCATCGCCGCCGGCAGGCCAAGCAGGCCCGGCCCCGCAGCGAAGCGAAGCTGGCAACTTCGTTTGGCGGAAGGGCGGGCCTGCTTGTTTTAACCTGTCGGGGAATAGTCTAGAAACGATTGCGACGCGCCTTGCCTCCGCGCCGTGCCGCGCCGCGCCCTGCAGCGCTGGGGTGTATGTCAGATTCTCGGGAATGGATCGCCTGAGTTGGGCCAGGGAAGGGGAGGGCAGCGCACTCACAGAACCATTTCTTTGATTCAAAGAAAAAATTTCTTTGGCTTGACAGGAAATAAAATTTCGTTCACTGGAAGAAAATTTTATTGAATGGCTTCATGTGGGAATGAAAGTTTAATTGACACATGTAGCTACACCAGGCACTTTGTCTCAACAAAATTTCTTTAGGAAGAATCTCATTTCTCCCGCACTCCCTCCGATCGCCCTCTCGGATAACCCTGCTCCGCTCACTTCGCTCGACTCGGCCCGGCTCGGCTCGGCTCGGCTTTGATCGTGCGGTTGTTCGGAGCCGATGGATCTCTGTCTGTCCACACACTCTCTCGCCTCCCTGCCCTCGACTCGATCCAGATCCAGACCCAACGCATTATTTCGTTCATCTTCTTGCTACAATGAATCAGGAAGTCATTACGCTGCTTCAGGAGTGGCATGTGCCTGAAGCACTTCCATACCTTGAAGGTGAGACATATGCATGTACATTAATTCGCTCTGAATGTAAAGGAGAAGTCTCTCGTTCGACGGGTTATGCAGGGTCGTTTCTAAACTCGACCGACTGAATTTTTATCTTTCTCATTGATTTTAATTAAATACAGCATGCTAGTCAAAGTTTAAGTTGCTTTTTCGTCGCATAGTTTTCATGTTCTTTATATCCATGTCAGACTATATCAAAATTCTTTTAGATTAGGTTTGTGAAGTTGAGGTTAGGTTTTGCTTTGCCCCCATGCTGTCGTTGATTACTTTTAACTTTGTGTTTTCTTTAACTTTCAGCGCGCAATATAGTGGATATCACAGCGTTGAAGCTATTGAACAGCAGCAACGCCGATATTGTCTTCCCAGTCGAGGCATTTGGTATCCGTTTGAAGTTTCTGGACGGTTTGCAGACATGGAAGACCATGCAAGAATCAGAGGTGAGTCACTTTCTCTCACTGGATTGTATCAATAGTTGGTGTTCTCCCTTCATTCCCTTTTGATTTCACTAATATGTTGGTTACAGATTATCATTGAAGTTGGTGCAGATTTAATTGCTGAACACGATGAGTTCCCTTCTGTTAATGATTCGATAACCTCCTCTGCTGGCTCCGTAGCTGTTCATGTATCAGAAGAACCTGTAAGTTTGTTGATTGTTATAGCTGAAAAGTGTCTACTACGTTTATAGTCGCACTGTCTTATTGTTCTGTTTGCTTATTTTGTTGCAGTCAAAGAAAAGAAAGAAATTTTGCAACCCGCCCCTTCAAAGTGTGGCATCAAACTCTGTCAATAATTTAGTAATTATCTCCATACACAACTTCGGTTTTAAATGTTATCTACACTGAATGTCTTACAACCTAATGTCTATTTCAGGATGTTCGTAGTTTGCTTGAAGCTGATGCAAAGGGGAAATCAATCCTTGAATTTTACGATGAAAATCGCTGGCTTAAAGCGCGCCACAGAGATGTTCTCACTGCAATTGTAGTTGATGCCATGAGAAAAATAAGCCATGGGTGAGAGAACTGTTTGCTTTGTTTGATTTGTCTAGTTGAAGAGTTCTTCTTTAGCAAGACTGTTTTATAAAATGTATGATGTCTATAATGTGTTTACTTGTTCATTTGCAGTTTGAAAAATAAGGACTATGAAGTGGTCGCTAAAAAAGTAAAGGAATGCTTCCCCACTGAAGAAGTAGTATGTACATGACATATTCTTTTAATCTTTTTATAAAAAAATAAGTTGGTGGTATTGTGCAAGGTATAACTTATTCTGCTTTTGTTTTCTAACCAGGAAACTTACTATCTTGGTCCTAAGGAGCCTGGAAATCTGTCAGCCATATCTATTGGGAAAATACCTCGTCGTTATCGTAATGCACATAGCGAAGAGAAGTCTTTGAGGCAGCTTAGTGAGGCTGGTCCCAGCACTGCAGCCCCCCCGTCAGTTAAAATCAACAAGAATCCTTTCAATATAATTCTCAAAGCAGGTACTGTGATCACTCTTTAACTATAATTCTTTATTATCTTCCCTTGCTTATAGTTCTCTTTTTCAATTAGATATCACCCCCAAAATTAGGGAGGCATGTATGTGGCTCGAAACAGACTCCCTCACTGCTAATGACTGGCCGTTGCTCAAGTGTAAGTGGGAGGAATCAGCTCCATTAAGACTCCAAGAGTTCTGGAAGGATAAGTCACCCACTTCTATTGCAAATTACATAACTAAATATCCCGTACTAAAACATCCCTCTGGATACACCTTGGTAAGATAATAATTTTAACATGCAATGTAAACTATTATAATAAACCAAACATATTTATCATGTACAATTTACTAATGTTAATGTGTGGCTTTTATTTTACAGCTTGAAGTTGACTTCAACATTATATATCCTGGAAAGGAGATGCTCTTTGTGCAAAAGTGGGACAACTTTTTGAGAAAAACTTCTATTCTTGCAGAGTGTGATATCAATGATGATGTAGCAAAGAAATGCTTGGCCTTATCAAAAGCAACTCAGCATCGTAAGTATTCTTTTATTCATCTATTTGCAATTGTTTATAAGACTGATGTCAAATTGTTAAAGTTCATGGAAGCAATTTGTTAATTCATGTTTGTTTTTGCACTGTTTAGCTGGTAGCCAGTCTGTACTTGCTCTGGGAATACTTCCTGCATTATGCGCTCCTACTAAGACAGTGAAATCAAAAATTACCAATAAACAAGAGAGAATCACCATAGCTAGTTCTCGTGCTGCCCTATTTCTACATGTAACTGTGAGTTATCTAATGTTTCTGTTCTTGTAAAGTGGAAAAATGCTATCTTTTTAACCGTACTGGTATATTTTCATTTGAGCTGTAAAATTATGGAAGTGTAAGGGATAGAATAGTATTGATATAACATACTTTTGAGCTTAGAAAATATCTAGAGACACAGTTATATCTGAGATTTGCCCAGTGTGTGTATTTGACATCAATTTTTAACGGAACTTAACACTATAAATTTTCATTTTATTTACAAACTAAATTGTGTGGATTTCCTGCAAACTTTGATGACAAATACTCTCACTTGTGTGATTCTCAAATACTTTTCAGCATTTTGAGATGTAATCAATGCTTAAAGCTACATTGTGTCTTTACTTCTCCCTGAAATCTAATTTTAATTTTGTAGTTTGTCTTAAGAAAATATTTTCACTTTACAGTCACATTAAATATGAACCAAAGAATATATCTATTTCTGCTTTCATTTCAGGATTGTTCTAAACTGTCAAAAGCTCTGACAGATAGACGGCAACAATTGTATTCTGAAACAAAAGAGTACCAGCCTTTTCTTGTTTTTGTAGGACCGAAGTTAAATGACATAAGGCAAAGCTATGTGGATGTGGCAGGCATCCTCTATCGCCTGAACACACCGGCCAAAGCTATTGATGCTTGCTTCAAGGCTATTATTGCACTTCATATGTCGTTCCCCACTGAGGCCAAGAGAGTTTGGATGTTGATTCAACGTTTCCTGTATGACATCAAAACTACATATGATGATGATGTACCTATGGGAACTATTTCTTCATATAAATCCGTACCTTTGCCAGAGTAAAGCTTACATGGTGGGCATTAACTGAGATTTTCAATGTCAGCTTGTTCCAGTATGCTGTTAAACTTACTTTTACAAGTATTTTTTTCTAGTCAAGACTGATAAGAATTAAGTTATTTTGATTTTGTATTTAATCACTAAGTCTGATTGTATAATTTTTGAGTCTGGTAAGACTGAGTATTAAGTTGTTTTGATTTGGTATTCAATTAGTAAGTCTGATTGCATTATTTTCTAGTCTGCTAAGACTGAGTTTTCCAGTATTGATTTGCATTTTTGTGCATTTTTGTTACATACTGTAGTTACATATTTGGATTAGGGTAATAATGGTTTTTCTTTGTGTTTGTGGTGGGAGATTCCAAACTCCTGATAGCCTTGCAACTCACATGCAGTTGAGGCATCCTGTTGATTCTGTTATCAACAACTATAAGTGTTTGCAACATACTGGTTGCAAAGGTCTATTTTTTGACTCTATTCAGAAATTTAAAATACATTTGTTAAGGAAACATGCAGCTGACATTGGGGTTGACAATTTAATGGAACCTGTTGACAATGCTGAACATGAATTTTTAGAAATCAATGTACCTGGTAATGCTGCTGAGTTACCTCCACAAGATGAAGTAATAGATGTTCCCAATTTTGAAACATTTGCTAATGCTGTTCATCAGTCTGGAATGATATTTGTTTCTAAGCTATACAATAAGGATACGGTACCTAGATGTGTTGTTCAAGAAGTAGTCGCTTTTGCACAAGAGTATATGGGTGGCTTTACCTCATTGCTGAAAACTAAGGTTCTACATGCTTTAGCTAATAATGATGATGTTGAAACTAATGAAATTAAAGCCATGTTTTCTGTTCTTGAAAATCCATTTGCTGAGATAGCTACAGAAGCTCAACAAATAACTGCTTTCAAAAATGCTGGAGCATACATTGGCCCAAGCAATTATTTTATTGGTAGCTCACTTAAAGATGTATGTGTAAGGGGTACTATGATACCACAAATGGTGCCTTCGTATGGTCAATTCATTGATATGAAGCTGACTTTAAAATATTTTCTAGAATTGCCTGGTGTCTTTGACAAAATTATGCTGAATTATGCAAATTTAAGTGATGAACATGACATAATATCCAATTTTATCCAGGGATCTTTGTGGAGAGACATTTCGGCTCCCTATGTTGCAGAGGAGAAAATAGTATTGCCTCTGTTTGCATATTCAGATGATTACGAGCCAAATGATGGTTTGGGGTCTCATTGTCTTGATGAGAAGACAAGTGCACTGTACTACAAAATCCCATGTATTCCACCTGAATACTTATCTTTGCTACGGTATATTTTTATTGCAGCAGTCTTCTATGCTGATGACCGTAAAGAATATGGCACTCCTGCTTGTGTTAAATGTTTCTTAGAACAATTGAAATATCTGGAAAAGCATGGTGTAATAATAGAACTTCCTGAAAAATCTGTTACAGTGTACTTTGTGCTAGGCCTTTTACTCGGTGACAACCTAGGTTTGAATGTTATTATGGGATTTGTGGAATCTTTCTCCGCTAATTATTGTTGTCGTGTGTGTAAAGTATACCAGAAAGACCTGAAGTTTATGATAAGAGAGGACCCTGCGTTGCTTCGCACTCCTGACAACTATGAAACTGACCTTGGTATTAATGATAGTGAACGCACTGGAATTAAAGAAGAATGTCCCTTTAATGTTCTGAATTCTTTTCACAACTGTGTAAATGTTGCAGGAGACGTCCTACATGACGTAGAAATAGGAATCTGTGGCTATGCCTTGCCTCGGATATTGTTCTGGTTAATACATGTTCGACAGTATTTTACCCATGAGACCCTAGTTGCAAGAGTTCGTGGTTTTAACTATGGTCCCTCTGAATGTGGAAACAAGCCCTCTGTTTCTAAACTGTCACCTAACAGGATAGCGTCTTGCACTAAATTTTTGTTGTCAGGTTCTGAAACTCTATGCTTAATTCAAAATTTAGGTCTAATGGTTGGTGATCTTGTTCCCTCTGATGACGATGTTTGGTTGTACTACTCTCGCTTATTGAATATGTTGGATTTTATATTGGCACCCTCATTTGTTGTTGGGAGTGAAGTCCTCTTCAAAACTCTAGTAACAGAGCATCACGAAGCATATATTGATACTTTTGATGAGAGTTTGAAACCTGTCCATCATTTAGTGCTTCACTATTACCGTTATATGCTGCTAGTTGGGCCGCCCATTCACACCAGCACCAAGAGGTTTGAAAGCAAGAATCGTGAAAGTAAGCAGGTGGCACGATCTACAAATTGCAGAGTAAACTTATTATTTACACTCATGATTAAGAATCAGTTAAAATTTACCTACCAGCTTCTTTGTAAGACAGCCCTGATGGAACGTTTTCAGAGTGGAAATGGCAAAATGTTCCGTGTAGGGGAATTGCCTTTTGGCCATGTTGTGGGACTTCATGAAAATGAAAATGTAACTTCTGTTGAATGGATTGACTTGAATGGTACTCAGTATCAGATTGATCACATTGTTGTCTACAAATTGACTTATTTGTTCCCTATATTTGGGAAAATTGTTAGCATTTTGCTATTTGGCAATAATCAGGTTGTTTTTGTTTTGAAAGTTTTGGAAACTTTGTATTTCAGTGACCATTACCATACCTTTGTTGTTCGAGAGACAGATGATGTGCACTGTTGCTCTCCAGCTGCTCTCATTTCACATCAGGCATTGTGGCTACGAATTAGTGTGACCGGGGACAGTTTCGTGTCCGTGCGCCATCTTATTCAATAATGTTATGCACTATGTTGTATTTTTGTTGTTATTACTGTTAACCAAAATACAGAAAATTCACAACTATATTCCTTTTATTTTTTCTGGCCCCTAGCCGTTTTTCTAATTGTTCGACAATGAGTTAAAATTATCGCCTGCAGCCTCCGATATACTGGCCAAACGCAGCCTGTGGGGTAGGCAACCGCGATACTTCCGCGCTGAAGGGGTTGCCTATACCTCACCTCACAGGCGTCAGGCGTCAAGATGTCTCACTTTCTTGAAAAATCTTGTCCAGTGCGTCGAATGGCCTTACTATATCAAAATTGAACAAAATGAGCACGTGTGTGTGAAAATCTCTGACACCAAAATATTTGGTAAACTGTTCGTTCGTTAGATGTGTGCGCAGCCCGGCGATCACAATCTAACAAACACATGTAGGGAATGTCATTTCAATTATTTTTTCGTACTGGAAACCAAAGAAACAATGTTGTCACAGCGATTTGTATGTCACCTGGTGCATCTCACGAATATTTCGGTGATATTAAAGAAGATTTCTTCCGTGCTTTGTAGTGGCAGGGAAACGAAACTTGCTTTGATGTAAGGGGGACGTTTTTAAATTAATTTATACTGAGTGAAATAAATTTCGTTGGAAAGCAACTAAACATACGTTCATAGTCCAAAGAAAGTTTTGCTTTGAAAATCGCAACGAAATGCTTGTTGGTTTGCAGTACGAAATTTTTTCGTTGTGCCAACAAAATTTTCGTTATGCCAAAGAAACGGTTCTGTGAGTGCGGTCTGGTGTTGGGCTTTCTTTCGACGAGAATCTTTGAACCCTTCAGCATGTTTGAACTTGTCGCCGTTTGTGAGGGCACAAGAGAGGGAGTGGCAGCTTTGCTGTGCAATGCTGCCAACGCGGTGTGTCACAGCGAGTGACGCAGGGACGGGGCGAGGATGCTTGCGGAAGGGAGGGGCGGGGATGGGTGGCATCTCTGATGGGCACCGCTGGCAAAGCGGTTTTTCGCCCTTACCAAGGGATCCTGCGATGTGGGGGAGGGGGGGGGGTGAAAACACGACACTAATACTTCCTTTACGAACGCGATTTCAGAGCCGTGGTTCATTTGAGGCGCCTGGAGTGGCCGGCACATCACGTCCCACCTCCCCGGGCCCGTTGGCCCCGCCACCCTCCCCTGCGGGGAGTGACGAAATTATTGCTAACGTGAGTTCATGTCGTCGTGTCGTTTATACTTGTGTGAATGGTTTTTATATTGATGCGTTTTGTTTATCATGAATGAAAGGGCGGCTCGCCCAACAACCCCTCTAAGCGATCCCCTCCTCAACCTCATTGTGCCGTGGGGAAGCTTGACGAGGACGACGAGTCGGAGCCAGCTGTTGTAAGTTTAAGCACGTTAGCTTTTTATTCCCTTTGCGTGTGTTTTATTGGCGACTAACCTTATGTGATTTGTAGCAGGAGGGAGCACTCGACCTCGCTCCCGCCCCAGCCCCCGCCGAGGCCCCTGTCCTCGTGCCCGCCCCAACCTGGCACCAACTTCAGGCGAGGTCGTCCACTCCACCTGTGGACTTGCGCCACAGGCTACGACCGAGAGGCATAGGCAGGCTAGCCAGGCTGCAGGGACCCGTCAGACTTGGCAATCCGGGTTTCGACTACTGGGCCAGGCAGTGTCGACTACTGGGCCAAAGGTGTCGACTTCTGGGCCAATGAACACTGTGTTTTGTTATACATTTTTGTGTACAAACATGTATTTATTTCCATTTTCGACGTATGGGTAATTAAGTTTAATCCGTTCACTACACCTCCAAACTTTTTCCTTGACGCTACCGTACACCAATGCTCCTTTGTAGGCACTTTTGCAAAGCCTTGCTCTTAAACTGTCGACTACTGGGCCCCTTACCCTATGGCGGCGCGCCTCTTAATGATGAGTTCCTCTCAGTTATAAGCCTGCTCATATGCAGTGGCCCTGTCGCCATCGTAATTATTTCGAATATTTGTTGCAGACCTCGAGGATGTATCATGTTGTGGAGGGCCCCCTTGCGAGGTTCGCAGATGTATCATTGTGGGGATGGTTTTTACTATCTGTTGCGTGAAGTCCGTCTTTCACGGCTTCGATTAAAGTGCAGGCACTATAAACTTGTCTGTCGTGGTGCAGCTGCCATCAACACCCGAACCGGGGAAATGTATCAAACCCAGCCTCACAATCACCCTCCTGATCATCTTCTCTTGGAGGACATGGATCTCAGAGAAGAAATGGTGCAGCATGCACGCACAACTGTTACTGGCGCTACAACGAGACTTATTGGCTGAGCGATTAGCGAAGCCTATTTGGCTGAGCGATTAGCGAAGCCTATTTGGCTGAGCGATTAGCGAAGCCCATTACTCCACTGACCAAAAAAGTTTCATTCTGTTTGTGGGTTTGTTTGTTTGTTTGTTTGTTTGTTTGATTTTCTGTCCGCACGATAACTCGAGAATGGATTGAGATAGCGATCTGGGAATAGAGTATTCCGGCGGGAGCGCGGAGAAGACTCCGCGGAAGAACAAAAAGGCCCGTGATTCGCCGAACGGCGTCCCCCTCCACTACGGGAAGATGGTGGGGGGCGCCGCGGCGAATCACGGGCCCTTTAGTTCTTCCGTGGAGTCTTCTCCGCGCTCCCGCCGGAATACTCTATTTCAGGGTCATTTTGTATCATAAAAAGACAGATCGAGTTCAAAGATGAGCATTCTAGCTCAAAAATTGGCTACTAAAAAAATCAAAAACTACAGGTCGCAAAATGAATTTTTATCAACTATTTTTTTAGGGGTTCCTAAGAGGTAACACGTCAAAAAAGAGCCCCACGGACGTAAATTTCGTCCGTTTGGCTCTATCTCGTGCCGTTTAGGTGCTAGGGGGCATTTCTTGACTTAAATGAGGTGAAAATGATCAAATGGTCGATTAAATCGTTAAAAAGACTTCATTTCTAAAAATTGGACATCCACTCCTATTACCCCGTCTCGGGTGTCAGCGCCGCAGGCCTAGCTATATGTGCGCCAGGCGCGTCGCAGCGTAACAGTGTTTCGTGAGATATCGCGAAGCCTGTTACGCGAGACGTCGTCTGGCGTACGTATAGCTAGTACTCCAGTGATGATCAAAAAGTTTCGCGTCGGTCTGTCTGTCTGTCTCTGTGTGTGTGTGTCTGTCTGTCATCACGATAACTCGAGAATGAATTGAGCTAGCGACCTGGGATTTTCAGGGTCGTTTTGTATCGTAAAAAAAAAGATAGAGTTCGAAAAAGAGCATTCTAGCTCAAAAATTGGCTTTTAAAAAAAATCAAACACCACAGGTCCCACAAATAATGTTTTTTTTGAATATTTGTTTTTACAGTTTTCTAAGGGGTAACTTATCAAAATAGAGCCCTACGGGCGAAAATGTCGTCCGTTTGGCTCTATCCTTAACCATTTAGGGGCCACGGAGTTATTGATGGAAACGAGCGAAAAAATGTACACCCCTGCATGCTTAGTCAAAGTGACGGGAAGTTGACGGGCCGGAGGCCCGTATCCTTGTGTTCATTTTTGCGCTACCCGACTCGGGTGTCAGCGCCGCAGGCCTAGGTAGATGTATGCCAGGCGCGTCGCAGCGCAACAGTGTTTCGTGAGATATCGCGAAGCCTGTTACGCGAGTCGTGGTCTGGCGTACATCTACCTAGTTCTTAATGATTTTAAATTGAGGTTGGTATTTGGAATCTTGTGGATATGTAGAGCAGTGTCAATTGGCTCTCTAAGCTGGTTTCATTTTTCCAGGTGTGGTGATCTTCATTTAGCTGCTATGTGTACCATGCGCCCTTGCACAGGGCTTGTAGTCAAATGTTTCCCCGTATCCCGAACACTCTTCTGCACCTTGGAATATTGGTGGGCCTTCCCAATCTTCGAGGCGTTTGTACGGACCATAGACAATACAGATATAATTTTCCGGGGTGTTATAGGAAATCCTGGGCTTAAGACTGTGTCAGTGGTATTTGTCTCTGGTCGTATGGTGAGATTCTTGGCGAGTCGTAAGAACATTCATGTAGATGCTACTTTCGCAGTCGAAAGCCCAAAATGAGGCAGATGCTTAATGTTGTCACCAACTATGGGGGAGAGGTAAGAGCAGTTCTAAGTTGGAGGCTACTTAATGGTTTACTTTATTACCATCTGTTTAACTGTTCTTTTGCAGGTTGTTGGGATTGTGCGAGCATTAATGCAGTCAAAACGTGAAGTAGCATATGTCACACTTTTCTCTTACCTGAAGGCTCTTTGCCCAAATCTGAACCCAGAGCGCATTCACTGTGATTTTGAGAGGGGAATGATCAACGCTCTTTCAAGGGTCTTTCCTCAGAGCTTGATTGTGGGATGTCTGTGGCACTATGGTGTTGTAAGTAACAATCATTTTGCTTCCGATGTTGACTGTCATCTGTTCCATTTCTGACGTGTGGTTCTTTCAACAGGCTTGTTGTTCCCATGCCAGAATATTAGGATTGACAAGACTTGCTGCAGAGCAAGAGGATGTTGGTGAAACATTAAGATGACTGTGTGCTGTCCCCCTTTTGCCAAGTATTTTAATGTGGCAAGGGGTACTTGAAATTTGGCATTAAACTCTTGATGACGGGTGGGATCAGGAGCTTGGTCCTCGTTTCGACTATTTCCAGAGAGAGTGGCTTCCTCGGCGGATATAGCTGTCTGTCTATGACTGTCCCGAACAAACGAATAACTGCTCTGAATCAGATAACCATTCATTAGCTACAGAGCTACCAAAAAATCATCCTAACATTTGGTCTCTAATTAGTTAGTA